CTTTGATTGCAATGAGCGTACCAACAGTGTATTCCAAAAATTCCATGACATCTTTAGCTACACACGTCTTGCAACTTTTCTTGCAACTTTTGTTGATTTTTCTTGCAACCTTTTGCAGCTTTTTCTATTTTCAAATGCAACTTTCTCTGAGGACAGGTACAGTATCGGTACAAGGGAGAAAGCATGGCTTTGGATTTATATGGATTAACACAAGCAGAAAATTATGTGTGCAAGGTATGTTTTTTTCTCACTTATTTTCTTGTTAAATTTAGGCTTGAATAGCCAGAAATGACAATTGACATACTGAGGATGCCCTGAAACCAAACAATCTCAAACGTAAGGGGAACACTGTCCCCCTTCAACCCCCTGCCACAGCACTGCCCTGGACCCCTCGAAAAAAGACATCAGCTGCGGGAAGCTCTGACAAATGCACATAAATGTACACACAAACACAAATACAAGTAAATGTACACACATACACACACAAATACATGTAAATGTACGTAGCCAAACACACACAAACACAAATAACACACGTAAATATACACACATACAACATGCTCATTTCGAGACACCACTCTGACCACACATTTCAGTGTAAGTTTGTAAATTTCATGCTAAGGATGTCTAGACCTCTTCATGTGTGTCTCCAAAAGTACTCAACCGTCTTGGACCGCTTTTAATAGGCGTGCGTTTAAGTGTAGTGTTGGTCAAAATAGGTCCACTGTTTGATGTTCTGGGTGTAGTGGTGTACGCTGACAAATCCCCTATTACTTCTATGACCCAGTTTAGGCTTACATCAAAGAAAACACGTTAGAACCTTAGTTTTCTGTGACCTTCATTAACGGGCATTTAGATTATATAAATTGGTCATCCACCTTTTAGACCTGCAAAGACTTGAGAAGATTAGTTTTAGTTTTAGTAAGAGTTTTACGGCACTTGCAACACTATAAGGTCATAGATTAGAGGTGTTACAAGAGTGTAACAAACATAAAGAAGGAGAGATAAGGATGATAGATGTTCGATAGGAAAGAAGGAGCAAACCACACCAGAGCACCCGTCAACCACCCACTGAAAAGATTAAATAGAGTGATTTGTTTTATCTTGTCTGAACTGTGGTTAGACAAAAGAGAACAAGCGATTGATGTTTGGTCAAACCATGAGATGAGAAAACAGTTACTGTGTCAAACCATGAGAAAACAGTCTAGTTACTCTGTCAAACCATGAGAAAACAGTCTAGTTACTCTGTCAAACCATGAGAAAACAGTCTAGTTACTCTGTCAAACCATGAGA